AGCAGCCATGTAGCAGCCATGTAGCAACTATACACAGCCATGCAGCAGCCTTGTAGCAGCCATGTAGCAACTATACACAGCCATGCAGCAGCCTTGTAGCAGCCATGTAGCAGCTATACACAGCCATGCAGCAGCCTTGTAGCAGCCATGTAGCAGCCATGTAGCAGCTATACACAGCCATGCAGCAGCCATGTAGCAGCCATGCAGCAGCCATGCAGCAGCCATGCAGCCGCCATCCAGCAGCCATGCAGCAGCCATGTAGCAGCTATACACAGCCATGCAGCAGCCATCCAGCAGCCATGTAGCAGTTATACACAGCCATGCCAGCCATCCAGCAGCCATGTAGCAGTTATACACAGCCATGCAGCAGCCATGCAGCAGCCATGTAGCAGCTATACACAGCCATGCAGCAGCCATGTAGCAACTATACACAGCCATGCAGCAGCCATCCAGCAGCCATGCAGCAGCCATCCAGCAGCCATGTAGCAGCCATGTAGCAACTATACGCAGCCATGCAGCAGCCATGTAGCAGCCATGTAGCAGCTATACACAGCCATGCAGCAGCCATGCAGCAGCCATGTAGCAGCCATGCAGCAGCCATCCAGCAGCCATGTAGCAGCCATGTAGCAACTATACACAGCCATGCAGCAGCCATGCAGCAGCCATGTAGCAACTATACACAGCCATGTAGCAGCCATGTAACAGCCTTGTAGCAGCTATACACAGCCATGTAGCAGCCATCCAGCAGCCATGCAGCAGCCATCCAGCAGCCATGTAGCAGCCATGTAGCAACTATACACAGCCATGCAGCAGCCATGCAGCAGCCATGTAGCAACTATACACAGCCATGTAGCAGCCATGTAACAGCCTTGTAGCAGCTATACACAGCCATGCAGCAGCCATCCAGCAGCCATGTAGCAGCCATGTAGCAACTATACACAGCCATGCAGCAGCCATGCAGCAGCCATGTAGCAACTATACACAGCCATGTAGCAGCCATGTAACAGCCTTGTAGCAGCTATACACAGCCATGTAGCAGCCATCCAGCAGCCATGCAGCAGCCATCCAGCAGCCATGTAGCAGCCATGTAGCAACTATACACAGCCATGCAGCAGCCATGCAGCAGCCATGTAGCAACTATACACAGCCATGTAGCAGCCATGTAACAGCCTTGTAGCAGCTATACACAGCCATGTAGCAGCCATCCAGCAGCATGCAGCAGCCATCCAGCAGCCTTGTAGCAGCCATGTAGCAACTATACACAGCCATGCAGCAGCCATGCAGCAGCCTTGTAGCAGCCATGTAGCAGCTATACACAGCCATGCAGCAGCCATGTAGCAGCTATACACAGCAATGCAGCAGCTTGTAGAAGCTATACACAGCCATGCAGCAGCCATGTAGCAGCTATACGCAGCCATACAGCAGCCATGTAGCAGCTATCCACAGCCATGCAGCAGCCTTGTAGCAGCCATGTAGCAACTATACACAGCCATGCAGCAGCCTTGTAGCAGCCATGCAGCAACTATACACAGCCATGCAGCAGCCTTGTAGCAGCTATCCACAGCCATGGAGCAGCCATGTAGCAGCTTTCCACAGCCATGCAGCAGCCATGTAGCAGCCATGTAGCAACTATACACAGCCATGCAGCAGCCTTGTAGCAGCCATGTAGCAGCCATGTAGCAGCCATGTAGCAACTATACACAGCCATGCAGCAGCCATGTAGCAGCCATGTAGCAACTATACACAGCCATGCAGCAGCCTTGTAGCAGCCATGTAGCAGCTATACATAGCCATGCAGCAGCCATGTAGCAGCCATGTAGCAACTATACACAGCCATGCAGCAGCCTTGTAGCAGCCATGTAGCAGCTATACACAGCCATGCAGCAGCCATGTAGCAGCCATGTAGCAGCTATACACAGCCATGCAGCAGCCATGTAGCAGCCATGTAGCAACTATACACAGCCATGCAGTAGCCTTGTAGCAGCCATGTAGCAACTATACACAGCCATGCAGCAGCCTTGTAGCAGCCATGTAGCAGCTATACATAGCCATGCAGCAGCCATGTAGCATCCATGTAGCAGCTATACACAGCCATGCAGCAGCCATGTAGCAGCCATGTAGCAACTATACACAGCCATGCAGCAGCCATGTAGCAGCCATGCAGCAACTATACACAGCCATGCAGCAGCCTTGTAGCAGCCATGTAGCAGCTATACACAGCCATGCAGCAGCCTTGTAGCAGCCATGTAGCAGCCATGTAGCAACTATACACAGCCATGCAGCAGCCTTGTAGCAGCCATGTAGCAGCTATACACAGCCATGCAGCAGCCATGCAGCAGCCATGTAGCAGCCATGTAGCAACTATACACAGCCATGCAGCAGCCTTGTAGCAGCCATGTAGCAGCTATACACAGCCATGCAGCAGCCTTGTAGCAGCCATGCAGCAGCCATGCAGCAGCCATGCAGCAGCCATGTAGCAGCCATGTAGCAACTATACACAGCCATGCAGCAGCCTTGTAGCAGCCATGTAGCAACTATACACAGCCATGCAGCAGCCTTGTAGCAGCCTTGTAGCAGCTATACACAGCCATGTAGCAGCCATCCAGCAGCCATGCAGCAGCCATCCAGCAGCCATGTAGCAGCCATGTAGCAACTATACACAGCCATGCAGCAGCCATGCAGCAGCCATGTAGCAACTATACACAGCCATGTAGCAGCCATGTAACAGCCTTGTAGCAGCTATACACAGCCATGCAGCAGCCATCCAGCAGCCATGTAGCAGCCATGTAGCAACTATACACAGCCATGCAGCAGCCATGCAGCAGCCATGTAGCAACTATACACAGCCATGTAGCAGCCATGTAACAGCCTTGTAGCAGCTATACACAGCCATGTAGCAGCCATCCAGCAGCCATGCAGCAGCCATCCAGCAGCCATGTAGCAGCCATGTAGCAACTATACACAGCCATGCAGCAGCCATGCAGCAGCCATGTAGCAACTATACACAGCCATGTAGCAGCCATGTAACAGCCTTGTAGCAGCTATACACAGCCATGTAGCAGCCATCCAGCAGCCATGCAGCAGCCATCCAGCAGCCTTGTAGCAGCCATGTAGCAACTATACACAGCCATGCAGCAGCCATGCAGCAGCCTTGTAGCAGCCATGTAGCAGCTATACACAGCCATGCAGCAGCCATGTAGCAGCTATACACAGCAATGCAGCAGCCTTGTAGAAGCTATACACAGCCATGCAGCAGCCATGTAGCAGCTATACGCAGCCATACAGCAGCCATGTAGCAGCTATCCACAGCCATGCAGCAGCCTTGTAGCAGCCATGTAGCAACTATACACAGCCATGCAGCAGCCTTGTAGCAGCCATGCAGCAACTATACACAGCCATGCAGCAGCCTTGTAGCAGCTATCCACAGCCATGGGCAGCCATGTAGCAGCTTTCCACAGCCATGCAGCAGCCATGTAGCAGCCATGTAGCAACTATACACAGCCATGCAGCAGCCTTGTAGCAGCCATGTAGCAGCCATGTAGCAGCCATGTAGCAACTATACACAGCCATGCAGCAGCCATGTAGCAGCCATGTAGCAACTATACACAGCCATGCAGCAGCCTTGTAGCAGCCATGTAGCAGCTATACATAGCCATGCAGCAGCCATGTAGCAGCCATGTAGCAACTATACACAGCCATGCAGCAGCCTTGTAGCAGCCATGTAGCAGCTATACACAGCCATGCAGCAGCCATGTAGCAGCCATGTAGCAGCTATACACAGCCATGCAGCAGCCATGTAGCAGCCATGTAGCAACTATACACAGCCATGCAGTAGCCTTGTAGCAGCCATGTAGCACTATACACAGCCATGCAGCAGCCTTGTAGCAGCCATGTAGCAGCTATACATAGCCATGCAGCAGCCATGTAGCATCCATGTAGCAGCTATACACAGCCATGCAGCAGCCATGTAGCAGCCATGTAGCAACTATACACAGCCATGCAGCAGCCATGTAGCAGCCATGCAGCAACTATACACAGCCATGCAGCAGCCTTGTAGCAGCCATGTAGCAGCTATACACAGCCATGCAGCAGCCTTGTAGCAGCCATGTAGCAGCCATGTAGCAACTATACACAGCCATGCAGCAGCCTTGTAGCAGCCATGTAGCAGCTATACACAGCCATGCAGCAGCCATGCAGCAGCCATGTAGCAGCCATGTAGCAACTATACACAGCCATGCAGCAGCCTTGTAGCAGCCATGTAGCAGCTATACACAGCCATGCAGCAGCCTTGTAGCAGCCATGCAGCAGCCATGCAGCAGCCATGCAGCAGCCATGTAGCAGCCATGTAGCAACTATACACAGCCATGCAGCAGCCTTGTAGCAGCCATGTAGCAACTATACACAGCCATGCAGCAGCCTTGTAGCAGCCATGTAGCAGCTATACACAGCCATGCAGCAGCCATAGTAAAAAGCTAGAAACTGCTTTCATAATAGAACCACTTGCTGTGGGTTCCAGTTCCAGTGAAGGACACAAAAAACATCAAAATATTGAAATTGTAGAAAGGTAGAAAGATGGCACATAACTTTACTCACCATTCTTTTCCTTGAGTGGTTACCTCTCTGTCTGACAGAAACAGGTCCGGGCTCTGTTGACATCATGTAATGGACCGATGGTACCCGACGCTTGCATTCAGTTAGGACACGGCTTTTGTGTTTCATCCTGTTTACTGTCACTGTTCAGTTCTAGTCACATTTTAATTTTTGTATTGTAATTGTATTTGTTTGTGTTATTTTTATTTAACAGTCAGTTTTAGTTTTTTAATATTGATTCTGTTTTTTTCTGTCTCTTCTACCCTCACGTCTTCTCAGACACTTTCAAACTAACAAGTCAAAGTTCAGACTTACAAATGAATCACAGTTCTGAAATTATTTCCTTTAAGCCACGCCCCTTAACAGTACTAACCCTCCCTCGCTGAAACCCCGCCACTTGTTGTTGCCAGGGTAACTATGGCTCCAGCTTTCCGGCTGACGACTCGTCTGGTGGTATCGGAAAACATGTCGCAATTTACAGTTGACTTCAGCGCAGAGAGGGCGGGGCTTCAACGACTTCAGTTCCTGCCAGGTGAGGAACACCTTTTTTAAATTGTCTCTCTTTGGTCAGTTTATGAGGGGATTTATTAGTTAGAGCAGGAAAGTACCTCTTTTTCTTGGTAAGAAGAATCAAGTTTTGCAATGACTGGGTCTGCTACGCACCCCCAAACACACGCCATGGTCGGAAAAAATTATTATTACAGACATCTTCAGTTTCCATGACAACTGAGCAAAGTCCACTGGAGATGAAGACAGTGTGAAACTGTTGAAAGCTCCAGATTCGTCTCGTTCACAGTATCTGACCTGTTCCCACAGTTCCCAGAGCACCAGAGATCGACGTCTCCAGTTATGTCATCCGTGACAACTCCATCACGGTTGCCTGGCGACCAGCTTGTGAGGCTGATGGTGACGGTGTCAGCGGACGAATTGAATTTTACGAACTCGAATACCGAAAAACAAATCACGACAGCTCACTGAGAGCCGCAGGAGAAACATGCTGGGAAAAAATCCCGATATCAGAGAGACAAAAATCACCATCTCAGGGAGGGGTCAGGTGTGAGGTGAGGGCTCAGATCTCAGGTGAGGGGTCAAGGAGACTATTTAAACTGTGATGTGGTCTTCCTGTGCTTCTGTTTCAGGGCTGAAATTTGACTCTCGGTTCGTCGTTGTTCGTGTTCGAGCGAGAAACAAAGCAGCCGCTGGCGAGTTCTCTGAACCCGTCGCCATAGAAACCAGAGGTGAACACATGAGTGAGATGACAAAAATGTTAGAAGTCCTCGTTTCAGGGCGAGAGCGATATAGACAGAATGAAACAAGTTACTGTTTTTCTACATAATATATACAAACATATACTGTAGGTATAGTGTGTGTGTGAGTATATACTGTAGGTATAGTGTGTGAGAGTATATACTGTAGGTATAGTGTGTGTGACAGTATATACTGTAGGTATAGTGTGTGTGTGAGTATACTGTAGGTATAGTGTGTGAGTATATACTGTAGGTATAGTGTGTGTGAGTATATACTGTAGGTATAGTGTGTGTGAGTATATACTGTAGGTATAGTGTGTGTGTGACAGTATATACTGTAGGTATAGTGTGTGTGACAGTATATACTGTAGGTATAGTGTGTGTGTGAGTATATACTGTAGGTATAGTGTGTGAGAGTATATACTGTAGGTATAGTGTGTGTGAGTATATACTGTAGGTATAGTGTGTGTGAGTATATACTGTAGGTATAGTGTGTGTGACAGTATATACTGTAGGTATAGTGTGTGTGAGTATATACTGTAGGTATAGTGTGTGACAGTATATACTGTAGGTATAGTGTGTGTGTGAGTATATACTGTAGGTATAGTGTGTGTGAGTATATACTGTAGGTATAGTGTGTGTGAGTATATACTGTAGGTATAGTGTGTGTGAGTATATACTGTAGGTATAGTGTGTGTGTGACAGTATATACTGTAGGTATAGTGTGTGTGTGACAGTATATACTGTAGGTATAGTGTGTGTGTGAGTATATACTGTAGGTATAGTGTGTGAGTATATACTGTAGGTATAGTGTGTGTGAGTATATACTGTAGGTATAGTGTGTGTGAGTATATACTGTAGGTATAGTGTGTGTGTGAGTATATACTGTAGGTATAGTGTGTGTGAGAGTATATACTGTAGGTATAGTGTGTGAGAGTATATACTGTAGGTATAGTGTGTGTGACAGTATATACTGTAGGTATAGTGTGTGTGTGAGTATATACTGTAGGTATAGTGTGTGTGAGTATATACTGTAGGTATAGTGTGTGTGTGAGTATATACTGTAGGTATAGTGTGTGAGAGTATATACTGTAGGTATAGTGTGTGTGAGTATATACTGTAGGTATAGTGTGTGTGAGTATACTGTAGGTATAGTGTGTGTGAGTATATACTGTAGGTATAGTGTGTGTGAGTATATACTGTAGGTATAGTGTGTGTGACAGTATATACTGTAGGTATAGTGTGTGTGTGAGTATATACTGTAGGTATAGTGTGTGTGTGACAGTATATACTGTAGGTATAGTGTGTGTGAGTATATACTGTAGGTATAGTGTGTGTGAGTATATACTGTAGGTATAGTGTGTGTGAGTATATACTGTAGGTATAGTGTGTGAGAGTATATACTGTAGGTATAGTGTGTGTGAGTATATACTGTAGGTATAGTGTGTGTGACAGTATATACTGTAGGTATAGTGTGTGTGAGTATATACTGTAGGTATAGTGTGTGTGAGTATATACTGTAGGTATAGTGTGTGTGTGAGTATATACTGTAGGTATAGTGTGTGTGTGAGTATATACTGTAGGTATAGGTGTGTGTGACAGTATATACTGTAGGTATAGTGTGTGTGAGTATATACTGTAGGTATAGTGTGTGAGAGTATATACTGTAGGTATAGTGTGTATGACTGTATATACTGTAGGTATAGTGTGTGTGAGTATATACTGTAGGTATAGTGTGTGAGAGTATATACTGTAGGTATAGTGTGTGAGAGTATATACTGTAGGTATAGTGTGTGTGACAGTATATACTGTAGGTATAGTGTGTGAGAGTATATACTGTAGGTATAGTGTGTGTGAGTATATACTGTAGGTATAGTGTGTATGACTGTATATACTGTAGGTATAGTGTGTATGACTGTATATACTGTAGGTATAGTGTGTGTGAGTATATACTGTAGGTATAGTGTGTGTGACAGTATATACTGTAGGTATAGTGTGTGTGAGTATATACTGTAGGTATAGTGTTTGAGAGTATATACTGTAGGTATAGTGTGTATGACTGTATATACTGTAGGTATAGTGTGTGTGAGTATATACTGTAGGTATAGTGTGTGTGACAGTATATACTGTAGGTATAGTGTGTGTGAGTATATACTGTAGGTATAGTGTGTGTGAGTATATACTGTAGGTATAGTGTGTGTGAGTATATACTGTAGGTATAGTGTGTATGACTGTATATACTGTAGGTATAGTGTGTGTGACAGTATATACTGTAGGTATAGTGTATGACTGTATATACTGTAGGTATAGTGTGTGTGAGTATATACTGTAGGTATAGTGTGTATGACTGTATATACTGTAGGTATAGTGTGTGTGACAGTATATACTGTAGGTATAGTGTGTATGACTGTATATACTGTAGGTATAGTGTTTGAGAGTATATACTGTAGGTATAGTGTGTATGACTGTATATACTGTAGGTATAGTGTGTATGACTGTATATACTGTAGGTATAGTGTGTGTGACAGTATATACTGTAGGTATAGTGTGTATGACTGTATATACTGTAGGTATAGTGTGTGTGAGTATATACTGTAGGTATAGTGTGTGAGAGTATATACTGTAGGTATAGTGTGTGTGAGTATATACTGTAGGTATAGTGTGTGTGAGTATATACTGTAGGTATAGTGTTGAGAGTATATACTGTAGGTATAGTGTGTGTGACTGTATATACTGTAGGTATAGTGTGTGTGAGTATATACTGTAGGTATAGTGTGTGACAGTATATACTGTAGGTATAGTGTGTGTGAGTATATACTGTAGGTATAGTGTGTGACAGTATATACTGTAGGTATAGTGTGTGTGAGTATATACTGTAGGTATAGTGTGTGAGAGTATATACTGTAGGTATAGTGTGTGAGAGTATATACTGTAGGTATAGTGTGTGTGAGTATATACTGTAGGTATAGTGTGTGTGAGTATATACTGTAGGTATAGTGTGTGTGAGTATATACTGTAGGTATAGTGTGTGAGAGTATATACTGTAGGTATAGTGTGTGTGAGAGTATATACTGTAGGTATAGTGTGTGTGAGTATATACTGTAGGTATAGTGTGTGTGAGTATATACTGTAGGTATAGTGTGTGAGAGTATATACTGTAGGTATAGTGTGTGTGAGAGTATATACTGTAGGTATAGTGTTATATCTGCAGCAGAGACGTGCTCATGTATATGAACATGCTTACCTATAGATCATGAATAAGATCCCCGTGTTCGTGCTGCTGTGAAGTTTGTATTTTACACACACGTGTTTCTGGTATTCAGTCCCTCATGAAACGGCGAGGACAGAAGGCAAAGCAGGTTATTGTGTCTGTTGAGAAAAACATGATTAGGACCAGGAGCCCCTGATAACTTTTCTGTTATCTATATTCACCGTGTCCTTCTTCTTTCACTGCAGCGTTTAATTTTGGCTTTGATGCGGCGACGGCTCACGCTGAGCTGAAGGTTCAGGGTGACACGGTGACCTGGGAGCCGCAGGGGGTCAAAGGTCATGACCCCAGACTGAGAGGGAAAGAGAATAAAAGCAGGTGAGAAAATGTGTCAACATCCAAAATAGCACGGTACCGCTAAGGATCATGGGAGCTTTTGTTGTTGAATGGTAAGTCCATTTAGCCGCTGTTCTGGAGCTTTTGATTGCAGCACATGGTCTTCCTCAGCAGATGGAGCTGCCCAGGTGTAATGTAGACTGTATCTGCGGTCAGGCTTGTGCTGTTCATGTCTGCTGGGACTTTGAAATGACTCATTTTGTTTCTCTGCTGCTGTCTGTTGGTGTGTTCTGACCTTTTTGTCCCTCTATAGTCTCCGTACTGCGTCCTCTCCGACACGCTCAGGTAGAAACTGTCATCGCTGACTAGTAGCAACCACTGTGTCACCAATCACTTTCTTCATCCGCCATGTTTTGTTTCATTCAGCCAATAACATCACTGCTGACATCACATCAGCGCTTGTTTGAAAAAAGATCTTTGTGTTTTTGAATTGGGTCACATTTTATTGATATTTTAGTTGACACAGTTCATTCGTGTTATATTTTAATAACTTTATGTCAACACTTTAAAGTTAAACTGTTCACAGAGCAGTTATTGTGATTATTCTAATAAAAAACATGTTTTGATGTAAAACTGGTTATAAGTCACGTTATTTTGTTAAGCTGCTTTATGTCTTTAAAACTAACCTAAAGTTATATTTTGTGTTTGATTTGTCATCCTTCTCTCTGCTGCATCATCGCTTTGGCACGACCTCATTGGCTGTTTCACCGTGTTGTTTGTCCACCTTTATTCTTGGGGAGTGTGGACAACAACTCTTTCACTTTCTCCTTTTCTTGTTTTTCTTTTGAACTTTATCAGCAGCAGAAGCGCCACGCCCTCACCCAATAAGACAGCAGGAAGTCGAGCAGGACGCGACCGATTCGCTGGAGAGTCATACACAGTGCTGGGTACTGCACACTTTGTACTACTACACTAATACCTCATACTGATACCACAACCAATGCCACTAAATGTTGTATATGCACATCATGTCAATCTAAAACACATTTTATCAAACTTTTAACACTTTACACTTTTATGCATTAAATTAAATAATATTATAAATACTGTTTTTTATTTAAAGTCAACTTTAAGCACTATTTTTAATTAAAGTGCTTTTATTTTACTGTCTGTTTATTTTGACGTCTAATACATTTGAATGGCAGACTTTTATTTTATAGGTTCTAAAAGCAACCATTGCTCCCTCTGGATTTCATTTTGTAAATATTTTAGTATCTAACACTGTAAAAATTTTTAATGTTTTCTACTTTTTTTTCTTCTTCCGTCTCCTAGGTGACCAGGAGATGAGTGGCGGCTGTCACTATTGGGAGCTCCGCCCCCTGGCTGACTGGAAGTCATTCAGTGTGGGTGTGGCCTACCGGGCAAGCCTTGGCCGCTTTGACCAATTAGGGAAGAGCACTGGTTCGTGGTGTCTCCACGCCAGCCAATGGCTGCAGAGCTCGCTCGCTGCGAAGCACAACAACCGAGCGAAGGTGCTGGATTGGCCCCTGCCTCAGCGAATCGGAATCTACTGCAACTACGACAATGGTACCATGATATCATGTGATTCTCTTGTTTAAATGCTTCAGTTTTATTGATGTCAGCTTCACGACGGATTTGTACTTTAGCTGACCGCTCAGTGACCGACACTTTAACATTCTCGGGGCTAACTTAGCTGAACTACAATACTGACAGTTCAACTCTTTAGCTGACAGTTTAACTGCCTTCAGCCGAGCGCCCAGTTACGCCACATATGGGCATGAAGCTTGGCTAAAAGCTAATGCTAACCATTTGCTGATATCTGTCCTGTCAAACTAACACCCGGCCTCCACAGAGTCCAGCTCTGGAACTCACATTGCTATACGGAAACCTCTGGAGAGCAATAACAACAAACGTTTACAACTATGAACTCTGTCGCAATTTATTTCAGTGCCCAGGCTCCATCTTGGATCATTTCAGCATCACACGGGGAAGGGGCTGACCCATGGTACTGACACCATTCAGCCGGATCCCATTCTTTGGCCAACTCTCATCACTACTCAGTACTTTACTTTACAGTACTTAAGCTTCAGTTCTTTACTTTACAGTACTTTAGCTTCAGTACTTTACTTTACAGTACTTAAGCTTCAGTTCTTTAGTTTGCAGTTCTTTACTTTACAGTACTTTAGCTTCGGTACTTTAGTTTACAGTACTTTATCTTCAGTAGTTTACTTTGTAGTACTTTACTTTACAGTACTTTATCTTCGGTACTTTAGTTTACAGTACTTTATCTTCAGTAGTTTACTTTGTAGTACTTTAGCGTCACTACTTTAGTTTACAGTACTTTAGCTTCAGTACATTAGTTTACAGTTCTTTACTTTACAGTACTTTAGCTACAGTTCTTTAGTTTACAGTACTTTAGCTTCAGTACTTTACAGAACTTAAGCTTCAGTACTTTAGTTTACAGTACTTTATCTTCAGTACTGTACAGTACTTAAGCTTTGGTACTTTGGTTTACAGTACTTTATTTTCAGTACTTTAGCCTCAGTACTTCATCTTACAGTACTTTAACTTACAGTATTTTATCTTCAGTACTTTACATTGTAGTACTTTGGCTTCAGTACTTTAGTTTACAGTCCTTTAGCTTCAGTACTTTAGTTTACAGTACTTTAGCTTCAGAACTTTAGTTTACAGTACTTAAGCTTCAGTTCTTTAGTTAACTGTACTTTATCTTCAGTACTTTAGGTTATAGTACTTTAGCTTCAGTTTGTTAGTTTACAGTACTTTAGTTTACAGTACCTTAGCTTCAGTACTTTAGTTTACAGTACCTTAGCTTCAGTACTTTAGTTTACAGTACTTTAGCTTCAGTTCTTTAGTTTACAGTACTTTAGTTTACAGCACCGTAGCTTCAGTTCTTTAGTTTACAGTACCTTAGCTTCAGTTCTTTAGTTTACAGTACTTTAGCTTCAGTTCTTTAGTTTACAGTACTTTAGTTTACAGCACCTTAACTTCAGTTCTTTAGTTTACAGTACTTTAGTTTACAGTACCTTAGCTTCAGTTCTTTAGTTTACAGTACTTTAGCTTCAGTTCTTTAGTTTACAGTACTTTAGTTTACAGCACCTTAGCTTCAGTTCTTTAGTTTACAGTACTTTAGTTTACAGCACCTTATCTTCAGTTCTTTAGTTTACAGTACTTTAGTTTACAGTACCTTAGCTTCAGTTCTTTAGTTTACAGTACTTTAGTTTACAGTACTTTAGCTTCAGTTCTTTAGTTTACAGTACCTTAGCTTCAGTTCTTTAGTTTACAGTACTTTAGCTTCAGCACTTTAGTTTACAGTCCTTGAGCTTCAGTACTTTAGTTTACAGTACTTTAGCTTACAATATTTTATCTTTGGTACTTTAATTTGTAGTACTTTGGCTTCAGTACTTTACAGTACTTTAGCTTTAGTTCTTTAGTTTACAGTACTTAAGCTTCAGTTCTTTACTTTACAGTACTTTAGTTTACAGTACCTTAGCTTCAGTTCTTTAGTTTACAGTACTTTAGTTTACAGCACCTTAGCTTCAGTTCTTTAGTTTACAGTACTTTAGCTTCAGTTCTTTAGTTTACAGTACTTTAGTTTACAGCACCTTAGCTTCAGTACTTTAGTTTACAGTACCTTAGCTTCAGTTCTTTAGTTTACAGTACTTTAGTTTACAGTACTTTAGCTTCAGTTCTTTAGTTTACAGTACCTTAGCTTCAGTTTTTTAGTTTACAGTACTTTAGCTTCAGCACTTTAGTTTACAGTCCTTGAGCTTCAGTACTTTAGTTTACAGTACTTTAGCTTCAGTTCTTTAGTTTACAGTACTTTAGCTTACAATATTTTATCTTTGGTACTTTAATTTGTAGTACTTTGGCTTCAGTACTTTACAGTACTTTAGCTTTTTGTTCTTTAGTTTACAGTACTTAAGCTTCAGTTCTTTACTTTACAGTACTTTAGTTTACAGTACCTTAGCTTCAGTTCTTTAGTTTACACTACTTTAGCTTCAGAACTTTAGTTTACAGTTCTTAAGCTTCAGTTCTTTAGTTTAAAGTACTTTTGATTCAGTACTTTAGTTTACAGTACTTTAGCTTCAGTTCTTTAGTTTACAGCACCTTAGCTTCAGTTCTTTAGTTTACAGTACTTTAGTTTACAGTACCTTAGCTTCAGTTCTTTAGTTTACAGTACTTTAGCTTCAGCACTTTAGTTTACAGTCCTTGAGCTTCAGTACTTTAGTTTACAATACTTTAGCTTACAGTATTTTATCTTCGGTACTTTAATTTGTAGTACTTTAGCTTCAGTACTTTACAGTAGTTTAGCTTTAGTTCTTTAGTTTACAGTACTTTAGCTTCAGTACGTTAGTTTACAGTTCTTTACTTTACAGTACTTTAGCTTCGGTACTTTAGCTTCAGTTCTTTAGCTTCTGTATGTTAGTTTACAGTTCTTTACTTTACAGTACTTTAGTTTACAGTACTTAAGCTTCAGTTCTTTACTTTACAGTACTTTAGTTTACAGTACCTTAGCTTCAGTTCTTTAGTTTACACTACTTTAGCTTCAGAACTTTAGTTTAAAGTACTTAAGCTTCAGTTCTTTAGTTTAAAGTACTTTTGATTCAGTACTTTAGTTTACAGTACTTTAGCTTCAGTTCTTTAGTTTACAGCACCTTAGCTTCAGTTCTTTAGTTTACAGTACTTTAGTTTACAGTACCTTAGCTTCAGTTCTTTAGTTTACAGTACTTTAGCTTCAGCACTTTAGTTTACAGTCCTTGAGCTTCAGTACTTTAGTTTACAATACTTTAGCTTACAGTATTTTATCTTCGGTACTTTAATTTGTAGTACTTTAGCTTCAGTACTTTACAGTACTTTAGCTTTAGTTCTTTAGTTTACAGTACTTTAGCTTCAGTACGTTAGTTTACAGTTCTTTACTTTACAGTACTTTAGCTTCGGTACTTTAGCTTCAGTTCGTTAGCTTCTGTATGTTAGTTTACAGTTCTTTACTTTACAGTACTTTAGTTTACAGTACTTTAACTTCAATACTTTAGTTTACAGTACTTTAGCTTACAGTATTTTATCTTCGGTACTTTGTAGTACTTTAGCTTCAGTACTTTAGTTTACAGTACTTTAGCTTCAGTACTTTACAGTACTTTAGCTTCAGTACTTTAGTTTACAGTACTTTAGCTTACAGTATTTTATCTTCGGTACTTTGTAGTACTTTAGCTTCAGTACTTTAGTTTACTGTACTTTAGCTTCAGTACTTTACAGTACTTTATTTTCAGTACTTTAACTTACAGTATTTTATCTTCAGTACTTTACTTTGTAGTACTTTAGCTTCAGTACTTTAGTTTACAGTCCTTTAGCTTCAGTTCTTTAGTTTACAGTACTTTAGCTTCAGTACTTTACAGTCCTTTAGCTTCAGTATGTTAGTTTACAGTTCTTTACATTACAGTACTTTAGCTTCAGTACTTTGGCTTCGGTACTTTAGTTTACTGTACTTTAGTTTACATTACTTTAGCTTCAGTACTGTAACTTAAGTACTTTAGTTTACAGTACTTTAACTTACAGTATTTTATCTTCAGTACTTTACTTTGTAGTACTTTAGCTTCAGTACTTTAGTTTACAGTCCTTTAGCTTCAGTTCTTTAGTTTACAGTACTTTAGCTTCAGTACTTTACAGTCCTTTAGCTTCAGTACATTAGTTTACAGTTCTTTACTTTACAGTACTTTAGCTACAGTTCTTTAGTTTACAGTACTTTAGCTTCAGTACTTTACAGAACTTAAGCTTCAGTACTTTAGTTTACAGTACTTTATCTTCAGTACTGTACAGTACTTAAGCTTTGGTACTTTGGTTTACAGTACTTTATTTTCAGTACTTTAGCCTCAGTACTTCATCTTACAGTACTTTAACTTACAGTATTTTATCTTCAGTACTTTACATTGTAGTACTTTGGCTTCAGTACTTTAGTTTACAGTCCTTTAGCTTCAGTACTTTAGTTTACAGTACTTTAGCTTCAGAACTTTAGTTTACAGTACTTAAGCTTCAGTTCTTTAGTTAACTGTACTTTATCTTCAGTACTTTAGGTTATAGTACTTTAGCTTCAGTTTGTTAGTTTACAGTACTTTAGTTTACAGTACCTTAGCTTCAGTACTTTAGTTTACAGTACTTTAGCTTCAGTTCTTTAGTTTACAGTACTTTAGTTTACAGCACCGTAGCTTCAGTTCTTTAGTTTACAGTACCTTAGCTTCAGTACTTTAGTTTACAGTACCTTAGCTTCAGTACTTTAGTTTACAGTACTTTAGCTTCAGTTCTTTAGTTTACAGTACTTTAGTTTACAGCACCGTAGCTTCAGTTCTTTAGTTTACAGTACCTTAGCTTCAGTTCTTTAGTTTACAGTACTTTAGCTTCAGTTCTTTAGTTTACAGTACTTTAGTTTACAGCACCTTAACTTCAGTTCTTTAGTTTACAGTACTTTAGTTTACAGTACCTTAGCTTCAGTTCTTTAGTTTACAGTACCTTAGCTTCAGTTCTTTAGTTTACAGTACTTTAGTTTACAGTACCTTAGCTTCAGTTCTTTAGTTTACAGTACGTTAGCTTCAGCACTTTAGTTTACAGTACTTTAGTTTACAGTAACTTAGCTTCAGTTCTTTAGTTTACAGTACTTTAGCTTCAGCACTTTAGTTTACAGTCCTTGAGCTTCAGTACTTTCGTTTACAATACTTTAGCTTACAATATTTTATCTTTGGTACTTTAATTTGTAGTACTTTAGCTTCAGTACTTTACTTTACAGTACTTTAGCTTTAGTTCTTTAGTTTACAGTACTTTAGCTTCAGTACTTTACAGTACTTAAGCTTCAGTTCTTTACTTTACAGTACTTTATCTTAAGTACTTTAGTTTACAGTACTTTAGTTTACAGTACTTTAGCTTCAGTTCTTTAGTTTACAGTACTTTAGTTTACAGCACCTTAGCTTCAGTTCTTTAGTTTACAGTACTTTAGCTTCAGTTCTTTAGTTTACAGTACTTTAGCTTCAGCACTTTAGTTTACAGTCCTTGAGCTTCAGTACTTTAGTTTACAATACTTTAGCTTACAGTATTTTATCTTCGGTACTTTAATTTGTAGTACTTTAGCTTCAGTACTTTACTTTACAGTACTTTAGCTTTAGTTCTTTAGTTTACACTACTTAGCTTCAGAACTTTAGTTTACAGTACTTAAGCTTCAGTTCTTTAGTTTAAAGTACTTTTGATTCAGTTCTTTAGTTTACAGTACTTTAGCTTCAATACTTTAGTTTACAATACTTTAGCTTACAGTATTTTATCTTCGGTACTTTGTTGTACTTTAGCTTCAGTACTTTAGTTTACTGTACTTTAGCTTCAGTACTTTAGTTTACAGTACTTTATTTTCAGTACTTTAACTTACAGTATTTTATCTTCAGTACTTTACTTTGTAGTACTTTAGCTTCAGTACTTTAGTTTACAGTCCTTTAGCTTCAGTACTTCAGTTTACAGTCCTTTAGCTTTAGTTCTTTAGTTGAAAGTACTTTAGCTTCAGTACTTTAGTTTACAGTACTTTATCTTCAGTACTTTAGCTTCAATACCTTACAGTACTTTAGCTTAAAGTATTTTATCTTCAGTACTTTACTTTGTAGTACTTTAGCTTCAGTACCTTACAGTAGTTTAGCTTCAGTATTGTAGTTTACAGTTCTTTACAGTACTTTATCTTCAGTACTTTAGTTTACAGTACTCACCTCTTGCTCTGTCTGCTGTCTTTCAGGTGATTTAACCTTCATCGACGTCGACAGACTTCGACTTCTTCACTCCTTCAGAACAAAGTTCAGCCATCCGCTCGTCCCCGCCTTCACTGTCAGTACTACATCGCACTGCAGTAATACTACACCTAATACTATACCCCGCCTTCACCGTCAGTACATCACCACACTGCAGTAATACTACACGTAATACTATACCCTGCCTTCACCATCAGTACAACACCACACTGTAGCACAGTAGTAGTACACCAGACAATATTTCATCCATAAAATATGATCCATTTTCACCAAAGCTAGACCCTGCCCCTCTGCAGGCTACCGAGAAGTTGACCAATCAGAAAGAAAGTGGGCTTTTATGGGGGGGTGTCTTAAAGAGACAGGAGCTGAAGCTATGATGAGGAAATGTGTTTTTCACATTAAAGCATGAAAATGACAGTACAACCTGAGTATAAGACCTTTAACAAAAGTAATCTGTGTTGCAGGTCTGGTGTGGTGGTATTGCCGTAACGACTGGGCTACAGGTGCCGAGCTTCATGGGTAATTTCCTCTCCACCAATCAGAGCCTCAGCAACCTGTCGCAGTAGAGCAACCTCCTCCAATTATCATTTTTATTTTATTATGTTATCATTATCATTAATTTATTAATTTAATTTAATATAATTATATATTATATACAGAAATTATTTGTGTATTGTTGTTGTCATCAAATATTAATTGAAAGGATATTATATTCATTATTCTTGCTGCTCTATCTGCTCTTATTTTAAAAGTCTTGACCTGAAGCCATAGTTTTGTTTGATTTTGAAGAAGAACAAATATGATCTATTAGCACTGGCTTTTATTGACTGATTTTTTATAACAGGAAAACAAATTGTTTCTTTTATTTTGAAGCTACAGGAAAGAAGATCTATGTTTAAGTATGTGTGAAAGCTTTTATTATGAAAGACATCATTACATATAGGAATGTGCATTTCTAAGTTTATTTTGAACATTAGAATGGAACTTCCTGTCATTTTGACCAAATTACAGTACTTTAATTGTTAAGATGAATATCTTTTTGTTTTTTCAGTTGATGTTGAGAATCAGGATACTATTTATTTTCAGTTTTTATTAAATGTTCATATCTGACCTGGAATCTGAGGTCCTTTATACTGAAAATATAATATTTGTATTATATTGTCTGTAAATGTCACATCTGTGAAAACAGTAAGATAAAATTTAAGACTGTGAAAATAAACATTAAACACTTGCAAAATGTCCGTCGGCTTTCATTGTGAAGAAAACCTCAGTGTGAGTTTAGAGTTTGTGTATTTATATTTAAAGTATATTACTGAAAACCTACAAATAGAGAGAACCAGGCTTTTATTAGAGACATTATATTTAAGACACACTCCCCCATATTTATTTGTTGTCTCAATGAATTCATTATGTGTCTAAACATAAATTACACACATAACTTGCACACACCTGCTTTTATTGTAACGAAACATATCAGAAGAATTAAAAAGATTCAGTACTGACTGTACTGACGTCTAAAACAAAGCACAGAAGAAGAGAGTGAAGGTTTCAGGAATAGACATGATCTTTGTACATCAGGCCAATCCAGCCTCGACGCACATCTGGTAGAAGTGGCCCTGCAGACAGAGAAGCTGAGAGGGGGAGTCCATCTCTGCAACGAAGCCTTGGTCCATCACAATGATCCTGAACAGAGAGAGACGGGAAAAGTAAGATGGGCAGAAAAACGAGTCAGAAAAACTAATGAGGATTTAGAGACAAAGAAGACGAGTCAGAAAAACTAACAAGGATTTAGAGACGAAAGAAGACAAGTCAGAAAAACTAACGAGAATTAAGAGACGAAAGAAGACGAGTCAGAAATACTAATGCAGATTAAGAGACGAAAGAAGACGAGTCAAAAAAACTAATGGGGATTTAGAGACGAAAAAAGACGAGTCAAAATAACTAATGAGGATTTAGTGATGAAAGAAGACGAGTCAGAAAAACTAATGAGGATTTAGAGACAAAAGAAGACGAGTCAGAAAAACTAATGAGGATTTAGAGACAAAAGAAGACGAGTCAGAAAAACTAATGGGGATTTAGAGACGAAAAAAGACGAGTCAGAAAAACTAACGAGGATTTAGAGACGAAAAAAGACGAGTCAGAAAAACTAACGAGGATTAGAGACGAAAAAAGACGAGTCACAAAAACTAACAGGGATTTAGAGATGAAAAAAGACGAGTCAAAATAACTAATGAGGATTAGAGACAAGAGAAGACAAGTCAGAAAAATTTATGAGGATTTAGAGACGAAAGAAGACGAGTCAAATAACTAATGAGGATTTAGAGACGAATTAAGACGAGTCAGAAAAACTAACCAGGATTTAGAGACGAAAGAAGACGAGTCAGAAAAATGAATGAGGATTTAGAGACGAAAGAAGATGAGTCAGAAAAACTAACCAGGATTTAGAGACGAAAGAAGACGAGTCAAAATAACTAATGAGGATTTAGAGACGAAAGAAGACGAGTCAGAAAAACTAACAGGGATTTAGAGACGAAAGAAGACGAGTCAGAAAAACTAACGAGGATTTAGAGACGAAAGAAGATGAGTCAGAAAAACTAACAAGGATTTAGAGACGAAAAAAGACGAGTCAAAATAACTAATGAGGATTTAGTGACGAAAGAAGACGAGTCAGAAAAATGAATGAGGATTTAGAGACGAAAGAAGACGAGTCAGAAAAACTAACGAGGATTTAGAGACGAAAGAAGACGAGTCAGAAAAACTAACGAGGATTAAGAGACGAAAGAAGACGAGTCAGAAAAACTAACAGGGATTTAGAGACGAAAGAAGACGAGTCAGAAAAACTAACGAGGATTTAGAGACGAAAGAAGATGAGTCAGAAAAACTAACAAGGATTTAGAGACGAAAAAAGACGAGTCAAAAAACTAATGAGGATTTAGTGACGAAAGAAGACGAGTCAGAAAAATGAATGAGGATTTAGAGACGAAAGAAGACGAGTCAGAAAAACTAACGAGGATTTAGAGACGAAAGAAGACGAGTCAGAAAAACTAACGAGGTTTAAGAGACGAAAGAAGACGAGTCAGAAAAACTAACGAGGATAAGAGACGAAAGAAGACGAGTTGGAAAAACTAATGGGATTTAGAGACGAAAAAAGACGAGTCAAAATAACTAATGAGGATTTAGTGACGAAAGAAGACGAGTCAGAAAAACTAACCAGGATTTAGAGACGAAAGAAGATGAATCAGAAAAACTAACGAGGATTTAGAGACGAAAGAAGACGAGTCAGGAAAACTCATGGGGATTTAGAGACGAAAGAAGACGAGTCAAAATAACTAATGAGTATTTAGAGACGAAAGAAGACGAGTCGAAAAACTAACAAGGATTTAGAGACGAAAGAAGACGAGTCCGAAAAACTATGAGGATTAAGAGACGAAAGAAGACGAGTCAGAAAAACTAATGGGGATTTAGAGACGAAAAAAGACGAGTCAAAATAACTAATGAGGATTTAGTGATGAAAGAAGACGAGTCAGAAAAACTAATGAGGATTTAGAGACGAAAAAAGACAAGTCAAAATAACTAATGAGGATTTAGAGACGAAAGAAGACGAGTCAAAATACTAATGAGGATTTAGAGACGAAAGAAGACGAGTCAAAATAACTGATGAGGATTTAGAGACGAAAGAAGATGAGTCAGAAAAACTAACAAGGATTTAGAGACGAAAAAAGACGAGTCAGAAAAACTAACGACGATTAAGAGACGAAAGAAGACAAGTCAGAAAAACTAAAAGGGATTTAGACGAAAAAAGACGAGTCAAAATAACTAATGAGGATTTAGAGACGAGAAGACAAGTCAGAAAAATTTATGAGGATTAGAGACGAAAGAAGACGAGTCAAAATAACTAATGAGGATTTAGAGACGAAAGAAGACGAGTCAGAAAAACTAACCAGGATTAGAGACGAAAGAAGACGAGTCAGAAAAATGAATGAGGATTTAGAGACGAAAGAAGACGAGTCAGAAAAACTAACCAGGATTTAGAGACGAAAGAAGATGAGTCAGAAAAAACTAACGAGGATTTAGAGACAAAAGAAGACGAGTCAGAAAAACTAATGAGGATTTAGAGACGAAAGAAGACGAGTCAGAAAAACTAACAGGGATTTAGAGACGAAAGAAGACGAGTCAGAAAAACTAACGAGGATTTAGAGACGAAAGAAGATGAGTCAGAAAAACTAACGAGGATTTAGAGACGAAAAAAGACGAGTCAAAATAACTAATGAGGATTTAGTGACGAAAGAAGACGAGTCAGAAAAATGAATGAGGATTTAGAGACGAAAGAAGACGAGTCAGAAAAACTAACGAGGATTTAGAGATGAAAGAAGACGAGTCAGAAAAACTAACGAGGATTTAGAGACGAAAGAAGACGAGTCAGAAAAACTAACGAGGATTTAGAGACGAAAGAAGACAAGTTGGAAAAACTAATGGGATTTAGAGACGAAAAAAGACGAGTCAAAAAACTAATGAGGATTTAGTGACGAAAGAAGACGAGTCAGAAAAATGAATGAGTATTTAGAGACGAAAGAAGACGAGTCAGAAAAACTAACGAGGATTTAGAGACGAAAAAAGACGAGTCAAAATAACTAATGAGGATTTAGTGACGAAAGAAGACGAGTCAGAAAAATGAATGAGGATTTAGAGACGAAAGAAGACGAGTCAGAAAAACTAACGAGGATTTAGAGATGAAAGAAGACGAGTCAGAAAAATGAATGAGTATTTAGAGACGAAAGAAGACGAGTCAGAAAAACTAACCAGGATTTAGAGACGAAAGAAGATGAATCAGAAAAACTAACGAGGATTTAGAGACGAAAGAAGACGAGTCAGGAAAACTAATGGGGATTTAGAGACGAAAGAAGACGAGTCAAAATAACTAATGAGTATTTAGAGACGAAAGAAGACGAGTCAGAAAAACTAACGAGGATTTAGAGACGAAAGAAGACGAGTCCGAAAAACTAATGAGGATTAAGAGACGAAAGACACGAGTCAGAAAAACTAATGGGGATTTAGAGACGAAAAAAGACGAGTCAAAATAACTAATGAGGATTTAGTGATGAAAGAAGACGAGTCAGAAAAACTAATGAGGATTTAGAGACGAAAAAAGACAAGTCAAAATAACTAATGAGGATTTAGAGACGAAAGAAGACGAGTCAAAATAACTGATGAGGATTTAGAGACGAAAGAAGATGAGTCAGAAAAACTAACGAGGATTTAGAGACGAAAAAAGACGAGTCAAAATAACTAATGAGGATTTAGTGACGAAAGAAGACGAGTCAGAAAACTAACCAGGATTTAGAGACGAAAGAAGATGAATCAGAAAAACTAACGAGGATTTAGAGACGAAAGAAGACGAGTCAGGAAAACTCATGGGGATTTAGAGACGAAAGAAGACGAGTCAAAATAACTAATGAGTATTTAGAGACGAAAGAAGACGAGTCAGAAAAACTAACAAGGATTTAGAGACGAAAGAAGACGAGTCCGAAAAACTAATGAGGATTAAGAGACGAAAGAAGACGAGTCAGAAAAACTAATGGGATTTAGAGACGAAAAAAGACGAGTCAAAATAACTAATGAGGATTTAGTGATGAAAGAAGACGAGTCAGAAAAACTAATGAGGATTTAGAGACGAAAAAGACAAGTCAAAATAACTAATGAGGATTTAGAGACGAAAGAAGACGAGTCAAAATAACTAATGAGGATTTAGAGACGAAAGAAGACGAGTCAAAATAACTGATGAGGATTTAGAGACGAAAGAAGATGAGTCAGAAAAACTAACAAGGATTTAGAGACGAAAAAAGACGAGTCAGAAAAACTAACGACGATTAAGAGACGAAAGAAGACAAGTCAGAAAAACTAAAAGGGATTTAGAGACGAAAAAAGACGAGTCAAAATAACTAATGAGGATTTAGAGACGAGAAGACAAGTCAGAAAAATTTATGAGGATTTAGAGACGAAAGAAGACGAGTCAAAATAACTAATGAGGATTTAGAGACGAAAGAAGACGAGTCAGAAAAACTAACCAGGATTTAGAGACGAAAGAAGACGAGTCAGAAAAATGAATGAGGATTTAGAGACGAAAGAAGACGAGTCAGAAAAACTAACCAGGATTTAGAGACGAAAGAAGATGAGTCAGAAAAACTAACGAGGATTTAGAGACAAAAGAAGACGAGTCAGAAAAACTAATGAGGATTTAGAGACGAAAGAAGACGAGTCAGAAAAACTAACAGGGATTTAGAGACGAAAGAAGACGAGTCAGAAAAACTAACGAGGATTTAGAGACGAAAGAAGACGAGTCAGAAAAACTAACGAGGATTTAGAGACGAAAAAAGACGAGTCAAAATAACTAATGAGGATTTAGTGACGAAAGAAGACGAGTCAGAAAAATGAATGAGGATTTAGAGACGAAAGAAGACGAGTCAGAAAAACTAACGAGGATTTAGAGATGAAAGAAGACGAGTCAGAAAAACTAACGAGGATTTAGAGACGAAAGAAGACGAGTCAGAAAAACTAACGAGGATTTAGAGACGAAAGAAGACAAGTTGGAAAAACTAATGGGGATTTAGAGACGAAAAAAGACGAGTCAAAATAACTAATGAGGATTTAGTGACGAAAGAAGACGAGTCAGAAAAATGAATGAG